ACCTTCGACCGATGCTGATCTTTGCTTGGGCTTGCGGATGACTAACGACCGACATTGCGGGCTTCACTGTTTGTCACGATGATTTGTGAGGCCTTGTTGAATAATAGCTCACTCGTGGTGAGTGTCTCCGCAACTTGTCGTCAAGGCATTTTGCAATGACGGGCATAACTGTGTGATGAAATAATGCTTCACCCCTTTGAAGCCGATCGACAAGTCGGGCGTGGATGCCAAGCGTTGGAACTCGGCGATCCAATCCGTGCTCGGCAAGGAGTTCTGGTGAAACTTTGGCAGCTGCTACATTCCCTTGAGCTTGGGTGGTTCCACTTGGAATCGCGTGTGCTATGCTGCTGTGAGATCCTCCCAATTGATCTTCGTGTGCACCTCGAAGACGACGACCTTGTGCGTGGACAGGATATTGTCAAGCCATGCTTGACACGCGCCACCCGAACCGTGATAAAGATAAGCATGCCGGTTGGATTCGAACCAAGGATTACCCCAAAGAGATCGTTTGCGTCGACGACACTCGGTTCATGTTCGACTTTTGGTTGGCTCTTGTCAAACGATGGGGCTCATCTCTCAAGCCGAGTTCGGCTTGCCACCCGCAAACCGATGGTCAGATGAGAGAGCGCATCAAACCGCACAGGTTCTCCTTCGCACTCTCATCCGGCCCGATCAAAAGGATTGGGTTGAGCGGTTGCCGGACATGGATTTGGCATACAACTCGTCTATTCATCCGGCTATCGCGATGTCGCCCTTTGAGTTTGAGCATGGCTCGCAGGTCACCTCACCGTTGGACACCATCATTCCACGGACGACCGAGAGTGACAACCACCTTATCAAGGCACAGGACCAGATGTCAAAGACTCAGCAGCACATGAGCTGACAAGCCAATCATCAGCGTCTTCCTTGCCCGTTCTGTGCAGGCGACCTTGTTTGGGTCTCCGCTGCGGAGTTTAGCCTCAAGATAGATATCTCTCGCAATCTTCTTCCGAAATGGATGGGGCCTTGGCACATTGTAGTGCCCGCTGGTGCTGCACTGAAGGGACCCTTGTTTGTAATTCAAGAGCCCACCCAATTGCCCGTCTTCCCACACTGAAGGGACCCTTGTTTGTAATTCAAGAGCCCACCCAATTGCCCGTCTTCCCGGTCTTTTTTGTTCGAAGTTGGCTCTTTTCGTTTCGGTGGAACGCGACGACTTTCCCAAGCGACGATCGTAAGACCCTCCCTCCATGGATGGTTTTTAGGAGGTCAGCGGCATCATTTCGCAGATGCACTACGACAACAAGCCGACAGAATACTTGGTGCATTTTTCCTATTGTAGCCATAAGGCGGACTGTTGGTTGATCCGTGCGGAACTTCAGGCTACGACCCCCGATGTCCTCGCACGTTACGAACACAAGCAGCAAGGCAAGTCGGCACCTTCCGCTCCAGGTTCCACCATCGGATCGCCAGCTTCGCCCTCGCCCCGGCTTGACTTTATAAGGAGGGGGGGGTGTTGTACACGGGCCCCATTTCGGGGGCCCGACAGTTGATGAGGGCCCCTAGGCCGTGCACCCATTCCAGGCACGAGACCGGGAGGCCCACGACCATGTTCCAGGCCAAGGCACCTTTTTGGTGCCAACCATGCTCTCGTTTTCAGCATTTACTCACTTATTTATTTATTTATTGCTGACCTTTGCCTGGTTCTATTTTTGTCTGTTTCAGGGCATCGTTTTGGACTTTTCAGTATGTCCGAACAGACCAGTGTCTGTTCGGACCAAGGCCATGTTTTGGCCAGGTTCGGTTTCGTCCGGTAACGGACATTCCCTGCTGCATCAGCAGGGAAGGCCTGGACGTCCGGTACGGACCCAGGCAGGTCGTTTTTAGGCCAGACCCAGGAGCAGGACTTCTCCGTGCGATCTGGACCGTGGATTGGACCCACGATCTCGCGGCCCAGATTGCAGGTCGTGGGCATTACATCCAGGCCCAGCGCTGGGCCAGCCCAACTCCTGGGCAGATAGAAGTCCCCAGTTCTTTGGGGCGTCAGGCTGTTGGAGCAGTGTGCTATTTTCAGCGCTGCGCTGCAGAGAGAGAGGGAGAGAGAGAGAGAGAGAGAGAGAGAGAGAGAGAGAGAG